CCAACAGAACAGAACTATTGCTGGAGAAGACCCCAGGCCTGACACCTTTTCTGGCTGCCTGGGGAAGGCAAGTTTTTCTTTTGATTCGTCCTCTCACTATGTTTCTCTTTTCCTTGGCGTTACAGTTTCTGAGAGGAAAGTAAATATTTTGACTAGTCCTCTGCAGGGGCCTTTTAAACACCAGGCACAATCATCTGTGGAATACTGTAGTTTTTAGTTTCAAAACTTGGATGTGAGAGTCTGTCTTGCTGAGGAAACCCATAGAATTTGCGGCGACCTCTCAACCCCTTATTTGTATAATGAAATGAAGTATTCCCCCATTGATTGTTCAAATTTTAACAACTTTTTCTGTCACTGTTCCTTTCCAATTTTTTTGCAGGGATGAAAAATCAATCTACCAGACTTTTTATGGGTTGTGGCAAGATCTCATTTCACGAGACTCACTCTTACCTCCTCTCCCTTTTTTGCTGTGGGCACAAGACATTAAGTGTGCAAAACTAGAAATATCTGAAATCCTGTTTAGCTCTTCTGTGTATTTGAAGTGGGGATTTCTTTCTTTTTCTGTTTTAGTATCTGATACAAAGCACATACGTTGAAAAGTTCAGAGAAACTACAATAAGGAAGAAAATAGTGCTAAGGTTTCCCTAGTTTCTGTATATAATTTAAATAACATAATGACTTCCTACCCAAAATGAAGCAAAAGTTTCCAGGAGGCATAACACATCACTGAATATTTGTTTTTCAAAAAATACATTCCAAACATTCCACAATATTGATGTATCTATGATTTTATAGTCTGAAAATATTTCTAAGCACATATATGGTATAAAAACATTGATTTCAACTCTGTTTTTGTTGCTAAAAAGGATAATATCTTATTCTTGATTTTAAAATACCTGCACTGTTAATGTCAGTAGTGTCCATTTTAGGGCCTGGATGCTATAGAAAAACCACCTATAAGGTGTTCATTTCTCTATCCCATTGTGCTATAGTGTAATGAGTATTTTACATAAAACATTTTGGGCATCCTTAAGTCTTTTTAAAAATCATGTGCTCTACGTGTGTGACAAATAAGACTGATTTTTGTTTTGTTTAAAGCAAATTCATTTTAAAGAAATAAAAGCATAATACTGAGAATTTCATAGTCCTATACAATGCTGACAAAAATGTTTGAAAGTAGAAAAAAGAAAATGTTAGTCTTGCCTATAATGCTTATGATCTCCAACCCCCCTTTTTTTGGTGTAAAGAATCTGAGTTTTTCAACCAATATTATTCTGTTATCTCATTCTGTGTTTCCATTAGAATGCTCACCTATGCTCTGTCTTCCCTTCCTGTTTTCCCATAGCTTATGTGTGTACATGATTTTAATAATATAAATCATTGCTTAAAAGAGTAAAGAATGGTTACTTTATGTCTCATTGTTCTCCTTACAATCTGCTCCAAAATCTTTTTTTACAAATGCCATCACAGCTATTTCCCCTCAGTTCCATGATGAAAGTGGATGGCAAATGCCATTCAATTTAGAGGAACTCAAGCACAGAGAACATAAAGATTTTGTTCAAAGCCTCTCTCAAATCTATTTCTGGACTTGGAAGCAGAACGAGGCTGGAGGCAACATCCAGTACACATCTCTGACTCCATTTGAGGCTACTTGAAGCAGGTGGGGTTCATTTTGGAAACAGAAGACCTCCATGGAAGTGTGTGTTCCTGCGAGACTGACAGGCTATGGTGGACCCCAGGAGGAATAAAACAGCTCAGGCTCTCACCTGCCCCAGAGTTGTAGGCAAAGAAGAGTTTCCTCTCATTTTCTTGCCTGCATTACTTTTTCTGTGTTTGGCAGCTGAACCAGAGAGCAGCCTGCAACATTTTGCCTTTGGGGACTTCCTGCAGCTTTACCACATTCCCTGGAGGAACTCAGAATCCTGGAATTGATGGAGGGATTACAGAGAGCCACAAACATCATCCTCCCTCTAATCCATCTGGGCTGATGCTGTATTGATAACAACCTTTCTATTATTTGTCAGTTTCAGACCATTCAAATGAGAACAAATAATAGGAATTTAGTATAGTGTGTGTGTGGGGCAATTGGAATAGGCTTTTGGGTTGACAGGACTGGTTTCTATTCCAAAATCATGGAATCATCAAGGAAGTGAGGGGAAATGACTGCGATGGAATTTATAAGAAAAAAAAAACAAAACAAACAAGAAAAAAAAGTGTTTAACAAAATTAAACACTTCTCACTAATTTCTTTCAGAGCAAATTATTCTCTCTTTTGGTTATTGCAGTGGATTTGGTTTGAGGCATTGACACGTTTATTTACCAAGAAATCTTACATTATGCCAGGACAAGACAGTGCTCAGTTGCTTGAAATTCATAGCTTCAGTTTGTGTGGCCCTCCCTGCTTGAACTACTCTGTTAGGCAATAAGGAAGCCCATTTGCATTAGATAATAAGAATCAGGGACAAGACAGACACAGTGCTGATTAAACAAGGACTCATATCCCACTTTGAGAGCTCTCTGATAACCAGAGCCACAATCACATCAGTAGGTCAAGCAAAAATCTGAAGATAAAATCAATGTCAGTCTTCTGTCTTGGTGACAGAGACCCACCAGAATCATATCCAATAAACCCTGTTATCAAGTACCTCATTGTAGTTGATGAATTTAGTTACGCTTCGGGTCAAATCGTGCCCCCACCTCCATGATGATGTTTACGGTATCCCTCACTTTGACACAGACTTTGCACAGAACAATATGCTCACAATTATAACTGTCCAGCAACTGATGGGCTGCTTTGCAAGGTAAGGTGAGTGGAGACATTGAGACTGTTCAAGTGGAATCTGGGGTGTAGGGAAGGCTAAATCTGCATGAAAGGGTGTTTGGGAAAATTAACCTACTGCCCAAACTCCTGTTCAGGGCCAGTTCTATTAGGATTCTCCCAGGAATATGTATCTATTGGTTAGTGTGTGCAATAATTTTAATCGGATGGCTTTTTAAATAGGATTATACATTCATGTGATTCAGAATTTTTAAGATTCAAGAAAATATTTCATTTTTTCCTGCGAGACTGACAGGCTATGGTGTCACCTAGCCAGCCAGTTCTAAACCAGTATAAGCAACCAATATTGCTAGTTTCTTGTGGCTAGGGGAGCTTAAAGAACCTTGAGGCCTACTTAATGAGATTCTTTGAAGAGAGAGGCTTTGTACTCTGTGTTTTAAAAAGCTTTCAGATAATTCTGTTGAGTAGGGCACCACGGGCTTAATTGACTTCTGGATTCCCTTAAACACGTAGATTCTATGGAAACCTATAGTATAATAGTATTTGTTCCAGACATCTCCACAATGCCTGCAAAGTATTTTCAATGCCGGTGTACTTCTTTATTTTTCTTGAAATCCTGTGAAATAAGTATTGTTTTCCTGATATCTCCCTATTTTATAGGAGTAAGTCGGTCTCAGAGTTCAAATGACTTGACAGAGATAGCTCAGCTAGTAAATAGCAGAGACAGGTAGCATCATTTAAGGCCGCCCCGGGACCTACCGCTCCACATTACATCAAATAATAAGATGTACCCATATTTCAATATGATCATTTGCTATAAACTTTTTTGAAAGAATTTTGTTAGGAATAAATTATTCATTATGTTTTTATTATTTAAACTTTATTAAATTTATGTATAACTGATGATTTGAGTTGCAGCTGGCAGGCTGACTTAATGTTAACATTTTTATTTATGTAAACATTTATTAGTGCTGACTTGACAGGTTTTTTTTTGTTTTCTATTTTGGAGCTAATAATTTTTTTTGGAAGGAGGAAACAGAATTCAAACATCTTTTCAAGCCCTTGAAAAGCTTGTATGTTTTAGATTCTATACCTGAGCTGCCTGTATTAATTAGGATTAAGTCTAAGCGTCTGTGATTCAGTGGATTAAAGAAGATAGAAGTTTATTCCTCTCTCACCTAACAGCTCGAGGTATGTTGTTCCAGGCCAGCAGGCAGCTCTGCTTTCTATGACTACTCAGATATCCAGGATTCTTGATCTCCTGGGCCATTGCTTTTGTCTATGTGGCTCACAGGCTCTTTCAGGTTGTGGTACATGGGAAATGAAAAGAGAATGCAGGAGGCATGTCTATGGTCTTTAGGTCTACCTTAGAAGTGGCACACATCCCTTCTTTTTTAATTCCTTTGCCCAGGACTTCATCACATGTTCACAGCAAGCTACAAGTAGAATGGGAAATGTATCAATCCAAATGCAACGAAAGGAAAAGATAATATACTGTGGTGAGCAACCGGCAGTATCCACAACAATGCATAATGCAGACAAGAGACTGTTATAATAATCCAGGTAAGAGCTAATGATGGCAACAGTGGAACTTACAAGAATTGATTGGATTTGGGATATATTTAATTTTTTTTCTGATAGATTGGATAGGGTTGTGAGAAAAAGAGGAGTCAAGTTTTTGGCCTGAGAGGTTGGAAAAATGGATTTGCCATTTATAGAGATGAGGAAGATGGGGGTGGGGGAGGTTTATGGAGAAAAATAAAGAATTTGGCACTGGGTATACTGAGTTTGAGATGCTTATTAGACATACAAGTGGAAATGGTAAAAAGGAGTTAGATACATGAGTCTGGAGTTCAGGGCATTGTTCATGCTGGTGAATTGGGGTGTGTATTATTTAAGAAATAACAGTAAACATAATAAGGAAAAATTTAAATAATATAGAAATTATTAAAGCAGGAAGTGATTTTTCCCTTCTTTTATTTCAACCCTAACTTCATCCTTTTTTTTTTTTAGAAGATTCCTTACTAACTCTTTAGTATATAGCCTTTCAAATTCTTTTCATTGCTCACTAGACATTTATCTATGCTAATTTAAGGAAATTAAGGTTGTTGTTTTTTCCCCCAAGGGGGCGTCAATTAACAGAGATATCTTTCCAAGCCGTGGCCATAAAATTTCCTTTTTAATGGCCACACAATATTCCATTGTCTGGATATGACATACTTTATTTAAATGGTCCTGTAGTGATGGACATTTAGGTTGTTCGGAACTTCTTTTCATTATAAGCAATGCTGCACTATGCTTCCCTGTACATATATTCTTGTGCTAGAAATTTGGAAGCTAAGCTCCTAGAAACAAAGTTGCTGTGCTACATTGGTATGTGCATTTAGAGTTTTGATAGACACTGCCAAATTGTCTCCCTCCCCAAATCATGTACATCCTATACTCCCACCAGCGGTATACTAGCGTGCTTCTTTCCCCACATCCTTCCCAGCAATATACCTCCTTCTGGAGATCTGCAAAGAAGCAATCTGTGAGACAGAGGAAGAGGCAAATGAGAATCTGTGTACAATCAATACACCTGACAACCTTGTTGAATCCCAGGGCTCATTCTGCTGATCTGGCTGCCTAACGGGGGAGTCCCCCTCTCTCCCAGCTCCATGGGGAGCCCAGCTGAGGAATGGTTGATGAAGGGCACTGGGGCATTCTCCTTCACTTTGATTTAAAGTCTGCTCCTCAGTCCACTGCAACTCAGGGACAAAATGTTCTGATGGCTGACTATATGTTCTATTTGTATTCTAGTTGGATATAGGTATCAGAACCAAGCGTTTATTCATTTTATTAGGGAAAGTCTTCAGGTTCTGGGTGCTCACCTTGATCTTTAATTGAAGTCACAAAATTAAAGCCTTGCTGTCATCTCAAAAGCTCATTCAGGTTCCAAATTTAGGTTTATTAACCTGCATTCCAAATGTGTAGGACAGGTAGAAGCTTAGGTACAAGACTCCCTGTCCTTGACCTGTCCCCTGATTAAAAATAAAGTGCAGCCCTGGCCAGGTATCTCGGTTGATTATAAGCAATGCTGCACTATGCTTCCCTGTACATATATTCTTGTGCTAGAAATTTGGAAGCTAAGCTCCTAGAAACAAAGTTGCTGTGCTACATTGGTATGTGCATTTAGAGTTTTGATAGACACTGCCAAATTGTCTCCCTCCCCAAATCATGTACATCCTATACTCCCACTGATTAAAAATCATCCCATACACCAAAAGGTTGAGGGTTTGATTCCCAGTTAGGCCACATACCTAGGTTGTGGGTTTGATCTCCAGTCGAGGTGCATACGGGAGGCAACCGATCAATGTTTCTCTCTCACAGCAATGTTTTTCTATCTCTTTCCTGTCCTCTCTCTCTAAAAACCAATAAAAACCTATCCTTGGGTGAGGATTTAAAAAAATAATAATAAAGTGCAGAGAAAGAGAAAGCCAGTGCTCCACTGCAAAAGTTCTGGACTTTAAAAGCACCAATAATTTGTATGAACAATTATGTCCACTTTTGTTTTTATGACCATTTAATAGACTTCATTTGTTAAACTTAAACCACAGATTAATCTTTCCCAACCATGTTTTTGGAAGAGAACATCTACAGATTTATTCAGAGGACTTTAAGCAGTAAAAATCATCTCTGGTTCATTTCAATGGGTCATAAAAGGCCCCAAGAAAAATTAATCTTTTCATATATATAGTAGATGATTTTCAAAGGAGATTTTCTTATTATCTTGTGGCTTTTTTTAAAAAAAGAGCTTATTTATTTTTGTAAACTTGACACATTCACAGTAAAAAAAATCAAGCAATGCAGAAAAACACAATAAAGAAAGTTTAAAAATAACATTTGAATCCTACAACCCAAGGTCAATCACATTAACATTTTGGTGGAACACATTTCTAGAAATACTGCATTTACATGGACCATACTCATGTAATGTATATATCTTTATATTTATATCTATGCTTAATTTGCTTGATATGCCCTGACCCCTCCTGAAAGTCTCCCTTTCCTCTCAACACCCCAGGTTTGAAAGAGCAAACTGAGGAAATTGTAGAGCAGATTGGGAATTCCATGTCAGGAGAGGTATGATCCTTTGCATAAATACTTCAACCCCTTCATGGAGGATTGCAGTAAATCAGGTGACTCTATGGGAGTCAATGACAGGGACTCCTCCTTAGGTCAATATCAAAGCAAGATTGTGCTCTTAATTTTCAATCCTATTTATTTAAAGAAAATCCTACTTTAAAAATGTTTACTTTTTAATAAGTAATCCACGCATACAGTAGAAAATTTACTATGTACCAAATGGCTTATACTGAAAGATATCTCCCACCTTTTCCTATACACCCAGTTCCCCTCCCAAGAGGCAACCATTATCTTGTGAATTCACCTAGGAATATTCTATATACTCATACAGTTATGCATGCACACATATATTATCTCTGCACCACTTCCTCGTGGAAATGGAAACATACCCTAACACTGTCTTACTTTTTTCACTTAATATTGTATCTTGGAGACCCATTATTCTAATCCACTGTATGGATTTATAGACCTGCCAAAATTTATTTAATCAGTTAAAAACAGCGTTGGTTTTGTTTTGCTATTATAAGCCAAAGTAGGAGTGAATGTTCTTAAATATACATTATTTTGCATGACCATGGGTATATTTGTTAGACAAATTACCAAGGAGTGGAACTGTTAGGTCACAGGGCTCATGCACTTTTTAATTTTGAAAGATGATCAGGATGTTTGCTTAGGTAGAACTACTATTTAGTAGTTCTTATTTAATAAGATTATCCTGCTAACTATATTAGTAGTGTCTTGGTCAGAAGGAACCTCAAAATTCCTTTCTAGAAATGTCTCAACTAGGTGCAAACTACAGATATCTAGGAAGTAGTAAAACGGTATCAAATTTGGAGATGTGGAGCCTGCCTGTCAAAAGCAATGTCAAAGAGACCCATGGAGTCCTGCAGATGCTGCTGGGCAATGAAAGTGACCTTAGAGGCCTTGAAGCGCAATCTACTGGGACTGCCAATATTACATACTGTAGGTGCTGCCTGCTATTAGGCTGAACCATATGAAACTGTAACTGTTAGACCACCTTTAACCTATAAAAATTGCAATTTTATTTTATTAGTAGTTCAACTAATATTACATTTATATTTTGGTATCATAGAGAGAATTCCTTAGGAAACGGGTTTAGAGGTTGGGACGTGGAGAGCTAAGAGTGAGGGTCAGGAAGGTGGACAAGGGCATCACAAATTGAGGGTATAGGAGACCCCTGGGAATGCGCCTGCATAGAAGACAAAAGTGTGAATCACAGGACTGAGGTCTCATTTCTACAAATATTCATGGACTGAAGCCGCCATCCCAGCTCCCCATGTGAAGCAGAGAACTGCAGTGCAGCAAGAATGATCGGGTCAGGGCAATGGTGGTTCACACCCCCAGGTATGTGCATCTGGATTAGGGTTTAACCCCACAATAGATTGAAATTTTGGTTCATTTTGGGATTTGGTACTGAAAACTTCAGTTCAACACTGCGGTCTCTCTGTCCTGCCAGCATAGGCTTAAAAGTGGCCCTGAAGTTCATCTTAAGTGGCTGCTAAGGGGATGATTGTAGGGATTTCCTCACACTTACGAAGAGCCATCCTGGAGCACTGGGATAAATATATGGTGAGGGAAAGTGTGTTTCCTTCTAAAATGTGAGAGTTTAGAAACAGAGGGGAAAACCCCCACCTATAATCACCTCCCTGACAAAACAGCTCTGAATTTCTATAATTCTTTCTACTCCTTGACCATTTGTTTTCATATATTTACACCACTGCAGTCGCACACTTTTCTCATTTTACATCTCAGTTTTGCCAATTATTGTTTCAAATGGTTGCATACTAGTCTTTTGAATGGTTGTACTATAATTTTCCTATCCCTCCATCCCCATTCTCAGATTTTTCAGAGAATGGTTGCTCATTGGTTGCTTCCAATTTCTTGCTTTTAGAGAAAAGGCTGAGCCTGAAAAAAGGCTTCCATCCATACTTTAGTGTTTTTTTTTAATTAAAGTAAATTATTCTGCTACACAGCTTCCCTCTGCCAGCACAGAAATCTATTTGTCTATTTTACTAATATTAAAGGAGATAATGTGTATAGCAAGCACTAAAACAGTGTTTGGGAAATAATGAGTGCTACATAAATGTGAACTATTATTATTACTAGTCAATATCTCTCATTACCAGTGTCAGAAAAAGACCTGCAAATAAAGAAATTTTTGAAATGATATTGGATTGCCCATAGAGAATTAGAATCAACACATGGGGAGTAGTCAAGTAAGACTTGATACTTTTAAGAAATGGTGATTAGCTATTTTGTATAATGCTGCTCCATTTGGGTTTATAATTTCTGAAGTGACAGGTTTGGGATGACCTATGTATACCACAGAAGTTATATATACCTTTCTCATCCCATTATATTAAGGGATACATAATGTTGATAGATTTTATTAAGTGATGTTAACCTTGATCACTTAG